ATCGTCACTTATTGTTATAAAACCTAGAAATTATCGTGAAACATTTTTTAGTCCATATCGCCCATCCCTAGGTGCATTATGTGTGGTTTAAAACTACCAGCACATCTGGCACTGACCTGGATGCGCAACATTAGAATGTGGTTGTTTTGTTCCAGCTTCTTCTGTCGCGTCTCGATGTCCTTGGCTTTCTGCTGCTCCTTCTGCAGCTTCCTGATGTAATCTACAGACGCCTTCAGGATGGTGCCCTTGTTCCAGCGCATCTCTCTGTCGTTGTTGTGACACCGTTAGAAGGAAAAAAATCACAGCAGGATATTAGATTACTTAATTTACAGTCGTTGAAGAAACAAAATGCAGAACTTTAGAAGCTTTAGGTGGAGACAAACTCAACTTACGGGTCACTTGATTTGGGTATCAGAGTACCCAGCTCCTTTATACGGTCGTTGATGTTGAACCTTCGCCTCCTTTCAACTGTAGAGATGGAAAGAAAAGAAATGTGTAACATCTGAACAGGAAAAAAGACATTATGTAATTACAGTTATATATACCTGTGAGTCTACATTAGCCGTGTTTCCATCAAGGGTTTTTTAATGCACATTTTGAAGTATGGCATCAGAAAAGATGAATGGAAACAGCATGATTCGAAAAAACTTCCTCTAATTCATATAAAAGTTGATACACTCGCTTGAGGTGGTTTTTGGTTTTTTCGAAAAAGAGTTAATGCGCAAAAGGACAGATGGAAACACATTTGTCGAATCTGTTCTGACGTAGCGAACATTTACCTCACATGTTGATCAGCTGTTCTCGCTGTCTGAAAGGTACCGGTACCAGAGTAACTGCAGCTGGACCCTCCTCCCACTGTCGGCGTATTCGCATTTACTCCCATAACGTGAAGAGAATTGCATTTCTTTCTATACGTCTCCAGACAGCAGGTAACATCATCAGAACTAGTTGATATGACAGAATAATTACAACTTCCCTGATAGTAGCAACACATTCCTGATAACTTCTCTCCACGGTCCTGAGATGTGTGGACCCTGCAAGTTTGTGACTTTTACTTCCTCTTTATTACAAACATGTGTCTGACGTAACTGATTCGCTTCAAGTCAGTTGATGGAAACACGTCTGATTCGCATTTCTTAGTTTTTTCCTTTTTGCAAAAATGTTAAAATTCGCTCAAAATTCAATTTAAAATTGGATGGAAACACGGCTAGTGTTTATACTGTCACTGTGTTGACATTCAGTTGAATAAAGGTCAGTATTCTTACAGAAAGAGAGAGAACTCACTGAGGTTATGGTTGTCTTTCTTCTGCCTCTCCTTCATTAATGCTTTGGCATCTGCCTCTGAGAAACAAAGTTATATTTTCAAACTTGAATGGAATTAAAWCAAAACGCAGCATGTTTTATAGAAACCACATGTTTATGGAAGTCTCTTCTGTACCAGAAAGTTCCCTTTTAACTTTAGGAAGATCGGCGGGGCAGGAGTTGCTGACAGTCAGAGTAGGAGCTGCCATTCCGGGGCTGTGGTAAACATCCAACAGATTTCCTGGGAGCTTGAATAACAAGAAACAACACGATATGACATACTGTATGAGCTGAACAGATAGTTATACACTACCAGGCAAAAGCTTGGATACACCCTCTCATTCAATGTCCCTGCTCTTTTCCTCTTTTTCCTGCATTGCAAAACARCACTGAAGCCATCCAGACTACGAAGGAACATACTGTAGAGAAGCATGCAGCAAACCCAAAAGCACCAAACAAACCAAAACATGCCCCCGACTCTAAAGCACTGACCACAGTCATGCACAGGTATTCTTTGGAAATCCTTCAAGACTGTTGGAAAACCATTCCAGGTGATTACAGAACCTGATGAAGCTGATTGAGAGAAAGGAAAGAGTCTGCACAGCAGGGGGGTAAATCACCACCTTTCTCACGATACAATATTATTAGGGGTGCCGATTTCCTTATTTTTGGGAGAACGGCGATCGGCCGATACTTAGATAAGATTGGTGGAAAAGATCGGCTTTCCTACCATCACAAAGGTCTAAAAACAAGCCACTGTCCTCTTTTGCTCGGCTGTGAGCACTACCTAATGTCCAGTTAAAACAAGTTTGTATTGTTTCAAGGGTGTTGTTCAAAGTATTTCAATAAAATAACATTCAAACATTGAAGTTGTATTGTGACTTTACAACGAAGGAATCGGCAGGTCAGACTTTCTAAAGATCGGAGATCGGCAAGAAAACTGGAATCGRTGCACCCCTAAATATGATATCTGTTTGGATGACGATACGATGTAGATATCACAAAGTCTGTCATGATACAATTTCGATCTGATTCAACTCACAAGTCTGATCAATATGATGCAACATCCTATTCCCATCTAACATAATGACTGTATGGATGGACCAATGGTTTCAATCCATATTGGGCATATGACAAAGAAATGTGTTTGTTTTGCCTAGATGTAATAATTTAATTGATATATCGATGTGGATCGATTGTTACACCCCTAGTGGAYGGCTGTAATAATGCAAAATGTGCCAACTTTGAATAATCCAAGCTCCAAAACATATTCTGGTTCATTTAACACCTCCATGTTCACTACATGGCTCCTTACGTGTTCCTTCATGGTCTGAATGACCAGTACCAACCCACAACGTAGGAAAAACATGAAAACATCAAAAGAGAAAGCGTGTCCAAACATTTGACTGGTAGTGCATATTTAAGTAAAAACTGCATATTTAACAAGTGGTTTCTTAGAATCAGATAAACGCTGCAGAGTGCAACAAAACAAGCAGGCTTGACATCAATCTTTACAAAATAAATTTGCAGTGGACTGATGCCATTTCAAGACAACAAACTGTATTTGCTCCAGTACCAAAACTGATATGATTTAAACAAAAACAAAACAAACAAAAAAAGACAAAGAACACTTTTACCTCAATGAGGTTCTTTTTCTTGTCCTCCAAAATCATGACCATAATCCTCATTTTCTATWTTGCCGATCAGTTTTGACAAGCTTCGACTCTCCTAGTAGCACTTATTGGTCAACCTGCTAGTGTACTTTGCAGTCAGCGAAATCCACTTTGTCTCGCTTCCCCCTTGTCTTCCACGCTCTGAAAGCTTTACCCCGCCCAGGCAACACTTCTGTGACGAATAGTAACCGAGTGCCAGAAATGTATATTTGCCCCCATTGCTTTAGAATTCCACACATAAAAGAGAGCGCCCATTCACAGAAAAGAAACAAAACACTCTGACTTTAGGGAGTAAAGTGCGATGGAGCTGCCTGAAATCCAGTCGCATTTTGTCACCGAAAAACCCCAGAAAAACCAGTCAGAGGAAATATTGAAAAGGAAGTGGACACAGTTCACTAAACGTGCTGTTCTTCTTACCGTGCTGGGCAGCTGAAGTCCCGAGTCAATCAACGTAATGATGTCATCATTAAAACTGGATTCGAGGCTAATGATGTCGTCGATCACATCATCTATCTAGATAAAACAGAGATTCAATCACAGGGATGCATTAATTTGTAGGAAAGTAAGAAAAATGTAGCTATGCTGTGGGTTTTAAAGGTCAAACACAAAGTCATGACGTGAAGCATTTAACCCGATACGAGAGCGCTAAAGAAACTTGGATGAAGGCAGGAGAGGTGCTGGTTCAGTCAAACTACAGGTGCAGTATTTAACATCTTATTGTGACAACAGGCCAGCAGGAGTGTGACGATAAAAGGGCACGTATCATTACAGTGGGAGCTTCTAGTTTTAACGCTCCATAGCAAATGTCRTTAAGCAAGAAACGAGTCGCTCTGAACTTCCTCAAAAACGTGCTGTGATTTTTGCAGAAAGGCAACAATAGGCAGTGTTGTGCAACGTGCTGTCGAAGCAAACAGAAACCCACAGAGGAGACATTCAACCACCGGTAACAGAACAGGATTTCTCTTACTTCCTCCTTGTTGGAGCCGATGTTGAGCAGAGCCATGGGACTGTTGGGGGCGCTGCTGGCAGACGGGCCCACTTCAGGGGCCGAACTGGACTGCGGGGCGGGGGACACGCTGAGAGTCTGCGTCACCGCCTTGTTTCCCAGAGTGGTGGAGAGGTACTGCTTCACCTGCTGCCTCTGAGCCTGCTGGATGTGGTATTTGGTGGGGTTCTCCAAGTGGGTCTGGACCTGGACCAGTCCAACAGTTGTTAAGAACATAAATCTGCTGCACTAAAATTATACAAGCGATGAAAGCAGGACAGTTTCCAGTAAATTCAAATGCTGAGTCAAAATTATATTTAAAAAAATTTAGTTATTTGAACAGTTTGTCAAACAAACGCTGCTTTTTTATTCCTTTGCTGATCAAATAACACCAGTACAGAAGATAGTAACAAGTGTGTACTAATAAGTTAAATAATTACAGGATTACTTCACAGATAATCAAGTTATTTAACTACAAATCAATGCATAAAATATATTTAGAAGGCCATCAATACAAACTAATAAACCTGACTAGTGAAAAAAAACATTCACCATAAGCTGGGCTCTGTCGACCACAAAGACCAGAAGTGAATGTTTGTGTATTTGGATGGTCTAGCCCAGGACTCTGCAAGCTTTACAATCAGAAGAGACATTTCTGCTCCTCAGTTTACTGATAAAATGTGTCCAGAGCCACAAAACGTGCTGCAACTGGGATCATCAACTGGGGGCCCAAGGGCCACTTCAAGTTTGAAGGTGAACTTTACGGCCAAGTGAGGGTGACATTAGAAAATTAAAATATATACAGAAGATTAATGTTTAGTTTCATTTTTTCACTTTAGGACAAAAGAAAGACCATATTCATGTAAATGAGAAGAAAAAATATTGTACAGTTTATGCCAAACTGACTTGTGCAGGCATATTTTTTTTGTCTGGTCTTTAGGTCTGCTGGGAGAGAAAGAGCATTTTTGAAGCTGGAAGCTAGACTATTAAAGTGACCAACAGGCTACTAGCATCATCTCTTACATGTCAAGTTGTACCGATTGTCCATAATTTACACAGATTTTCCCTCATTTTGCAGTTATACGGATGTATGGAGTAATCACGGATTTTTTTCAAAAACAGTTTCAAATTTATTGAAATTTGATTAGAATTTCATTGGAAATTTTATTTTATAAAATCTATAAGAATGATGTTGATTTGATTTTGATAACGTATAAATGAAAAGTGAAGGTATAAAAAGCTTAGGCTTTTACCTACACTTTCTTCAGTTTATGCCTTGTCTTTTTGACACTGACAGGAATTTAAAGATTGTGTATTATTATATTTCTGTATTTTTTTCTCCTGTAGTTGTTCAGATGGACTGGTTTTGGTGTGGTTTTTTTTATATTTAAACAATAAACAATAAGGCTATTTCACATGTCAGTGCCTGTAGGAAGTTAAAAAACAAAAAACAAACAAAAAACCCCCCCCATAAAATAACCATCTTCCACCCAGTCTACCTCTAGAAACAGTGGCTGACAGTACGCCTGCACCCCACCGCCCTGAGCATTTTATTACTACAGATTTTTGAGGCTCATTATACAGGTAAATGTCCCAAGGGGTTGACATKTCTGTCATCTAATCAACCTKTTTTAYTCTTTGTATTAGAAGTACTGGTCAYATYATTTGCTAACAAATTCACAGGAAAACTGCTAAAGTTAGCATTTTCTGTTGTGAGTATAAAAGTCTAAATATTTAAACTCACAGAGTCAGCGCAGAGGTACCAAAGAGCCATTTATGACCCATGAGCAACAAGTTGCTGACCCCTGGTCTAGTCTTTGACTTGTTTAAAACCGTACTCCTGTCTCGCTCGGTCTCTCATTCTGTCTGCCATTAAGCAAAATACATCTTGGGGATTGAGTGGACTGAGGACCCGTCCTTCAGATCAGGAGGGGGAAAAGGAGGAGGCATTTGTGGGAGGAGCCTTTGAATTGGGACAGCCTTCGGTGCATTGCTGTCACGTAATCAACCTTCAAATTCAACCTTGGAGGATGCAGCTCCTCGTTTTGGACACAGTCATTGTTTGTAACAAATTCTGTTTGTTTCTGATTTTCTTTTTCAGCTGCTCCCTTCCCCAGAGGTCACCACAGCGAACAAACTCACACTAAAACGTTGGCAATTGTTTTACGTTGGATGCTTTTCCTGATGAAACCAGAGCTCCAACCTGCAGCCTCAGGATTACAAGACCTCATCCCCTGAGGGACCAATTCTGTTGATTTGATTTGATTTATTGATTTATTGATTTAACAGGAAAATATTACTAAAAATCAAGCCTGACTCAGCATAATTGCTGTTTTACAGCAGGTTCCTGTTCTGCAGCAGTGTTGCTGCATCAAACATTTTAAGTTAAATTTGAAGTAAATAATAATAATAATAAATCCAAATTCTGATGCATCTCAATAATCCAGGTAGAAAAACAAAAAAGTAATTTTTTCACCCTCCAGAGTTTCAAAATGCTTAGCTTTCTTTATTATTATTATTATTATTTTAAAGAAAAAGTATCAAACAATACTGAAACAATATATTATATTTATATAACTTTTTTGGAGATAATTTTTAACATCAAACTCAAAGTTAGCATGCCTAAAAAAAAAAGTTAGCAGTTACCTAAAAAAAAAAAAAAGCAAAGCATTTCCCAGTTTGAACTTTTATCTGAAATGTTTTCAACAAACTAATCAAAGCAAATCAGTTTTTAAATCTTTACAAATCACTCTTCATCATTTAGACAATCGTTTCAAGAACCCAGGTGCAAACGGGTGGCTCTTACCTTCAGCACCTCCACGGGCACCTGTGCAGGAGGAGGGCGGGCCGCGTTGGGGGGCAGGGTCACCGAGATGGCAGGAGTGGAGTCCGAGGCCCGGAGCTGAGAGACGGAGGCCTGCTGCTGGGCCTCACGCCGCTCCTGCTCCTGAGCTTGTTCTCGCATCAGCTGCTGCCGCAGCAACACACGGGACGACATGATGGCTTCGGATCAACGTTTAGAGCCGGAACTGGAAAACAACAAACAAACAAACAAACAAACAAACAAACAAACAGTTAGTCTGGTGCTGGTGATGACATAATTCAGGCCCGGTCACACTAGACAACTTATGAACATTTTAAAGATGTCTACTTTGAAGATGGAATTGAAAAATCAACAGGAAGCTTCTTTTTGGCGTGTACGTAATGTAACTCTAAAAAATTGATCAATTATATAATTTTTATTAGCAATTTAGACATTTAAAAAATGTTTCATAAGTTGGCATAAGCTGTCTAGTATGACAGGGCCTTAAGTATTTATAAACGGTGTGGCTTTGAATGTTTGTGAGAATCTTACTGCCCCACATGGTTTCTACAAAAGATCAGTACAAAGAAAATAATTCGAAAAATTAAAAATACAGTTTGTTTGCATTTATCAATATCCACAGTAAATCTTAATCAAAACACATCAAATGATGATTGTTTTAAATAAGGATGACATCATAGCTGTAAAAGCAGTGAGTCACTATGATAATTATATTATCAGCCAACAATTTGGTATTTTAATTGTCAATTTACAGCAGTGAATTATAGAGGCTTTTTTTAAAAGGATACTTTGTGACTAATTGTCTTAAAAATGTAAATTAATAGTTGTTTATGCTTTATGCTATAGAAAATGATGAATTTTATGAAAATGTAACGTGCGGATAAACTCATTTTACTAAAGTGGTCATTTCAAATGGTAAATTGTAATATTTTCTGTAATGACTAACACTACACACACAATACATTCTTTAAGTTCCACAGCTCCTCCTCTGCTTTAAGAACAGACAGCCATCTTCAGTACAACGAGTGTCTTTACAGTAACAGGAAACAGTTTAAAGGTGTGATTAAATGTAGAGAGACAGTGTGAGCATACTGTGAACTGTGCTGGAATGCATCTGATAGAAAACAAACATCCAGTTATTTAATCTGTCAAGGATTGATTTTCACAGCAGCCTTTCTGATTTGTAAAATATCGATGTGTATTAAGATGGAGTCTGCCGTCTTTACAATAAAGTGCATGTTGTACAGGAAATCAACATGCACAGGTGGACTAGTGGAATGCAGTTCTTCAACAACTTCAAGTCAAAATGTCTCCTGTGAAACAAGTGCACTTATTACTAAGATAGCTGCGCTCAGTCAGCTCCTTTCAGCTGCCTTTACTCTTAAAATGACTAAACTAATTGTACAAATCTTCCACTAAACTGCCTGGAAAAATAGGAGTAGCACAACAAAAGAACACACCAGTAATATCATCGCTGAATACTGATAACATGAGCTGTGATAAACCCACGTTTTTCTATTTTATTCAAACAGGTGAAAAGGTTATCAAGAGAGACCTTTAACACAGACTATTAACATCAGTGTCAAAAACACAACAATACAATAATCTACTTCCTTTGCGCTCCTGCCAACACAACTCTCACACCATTGTTTTGTATCATCGTGACTACTTTCATCTAAATTAAGAACGAGCATCCCGAACAGTGAGCCTCCATCTGGACAGTTAAATTTATTACTGGTATATAGAGCATGAATGCATGGCACTCTGAATAATAATCTAAATCCAAGCAGGTCTTTTGCTATATTGTTTCTGCACACCCTGGTATAACAAAACATTACTAATATAGTCAGCAGCTACGCAAAAATATACACTTTATATTTTAAATATCCAACTTTAATAGAAAATTTCCTTTCAATAAGAGTTTATTTCATGTCTTTGATCTGGCAGATGATGGGTATGTTGCTGCAATCTTGGTTTAAACTAATTATAACATTCTGAACAGTTGGTACTGAACTTATAGAGCGCTTTTCAAGTCCCTCTGGACCCCAAAGCGCTTTACACTAACAGACATTCACCCATTCACACTCACATTCACACACTGATGATGGCAAACTACACTGTAGCCACAGCTAACAGAAGTGAGGCTGCCATGCACCGGCTCCACCAGACCCTCTGACCACCATCAGTAAGGAAGGTGGGTGAAGTGTCTTGCCCAACGACAACAACTGAGACGGCTGGACGGGGGATCGAGCCAGYGWCCTTCCAGTTCCAGGACGACTCCCCTAACCACTCTACCACAGCCACCCAGTTAATCAAGGTTTCTTGGCAAAACTACGCAGAAATGATGCCAACTTCTGTGATCGAAGACAACTTTTGTACATTGTTCAATGAAAACTCAGGACGTGAATTATCCCAGATTATTACATTTGAACACACTGTAATCTATGGTTACACTGTTTGTAGTTTTCTGGTCGATCACCGATCTTTAAAAAGTCTGAGCTGCCAATTMTGATTTTTAAAATAACTCAGCCAGAGAATTTATTGGTGCATCTCTACAGTAATTTTTCAGTTTATATATATATATAAAATCTTGGTTATCATTTGAGTTATTTTCAATGTCTTTCAGTTGTAATTAACTTTAATTTTAGACAAAATTACCCTCTGGTCTTTCATTTAGACTGTTTGTAAAACGAGAAAGTCATAAATATTCTCATAACTCGTGTTATTTTTGTTGTAATCACTAAAAAATATATGGTGAAAGTTCTGGTTTCATAATTCAGACCAACAAGTATTCACGCAGATGAGTCACCAGTACAAGCGGGAGTTTCTGGTCAGAGTTGTTTTTTTAGCATATAGTACAAAGTTACACAACTTTTAGCAATATTTAGACAATGAGAAAAATACCTTTAACTTCTTAAAACCAACGAGTTTCCTCCTGTTTAACACGCTGTTTGTGTAACTCCATGCTTTGGTTATGTAACAGGAATATCTGCTAAAATAAAAGTTAGGTTGATGTTTCTGAAATGACATTTTATTTACTCATATTATATCTGTTTGAGAGTTCAGATGTTAGTTGAAAAGCGTCAGCCTGTACTGGAGCTACTTTTTATTTTTCGTAATCTCTAAACGGAGCTCAGTTCAGGCGTCATTAGCTCAGTTTGACAGCTCCGGGATGCTAACGGGCCGCTCCAAAGAGCTAACACACATAACGACAACACAGCATTTATTTAATAAACCTTTGACTGAGGGTTTACCGTTTAATCGGGAACATTAGTTATTTCAGATGCGGATAGATTTAAAAATGTCAGCAGTACTGAGCGGCACAGCCATGGCAAATTAAAAAAGGAAGTTAGCATTTTAGCTAACTAGCCGACTAGCCCTCGTTAGCTGCCGCAAAGCTCCTGCTGTACAGCGACAAAACAGTTTAGATTTAAGATACGTACCACGGAATTACWTTACTGTAATCAGGGCCGTAAATTCACGGAATCCTCCGATTTCWTTGCCATCGTATAATGCCTGCTGTGATTACAAACACTGCAGCTGCCAACTACGGTACCAAACACTGTTTACGTTGGACTGAGGTCAGCGGAGCGGGCACGTGTTACCCGGAAGTTGTTGACATCTGTCAAATTCTTAACCAGCAGAGTTTTGAACATTGAGTTCTTCATAAATCACTGCAGCTGGGTGCATAACAGTCTTCTTTCTGCATCAAATTTAAGTTGTTTGYAATAAACACAGGAGAGGACTACAYAAAACTTACAAAACTGTGAAATTAWGTGACCCAAAATTCCCAGYTTTTACATAAACAGAATAAAACAYTTGTTTATGAATAAAGACAAGACAAATAACCATTTCCAGAAACTTTATTTAAATATAATTTTGATCAGTCTTCTAAAAATTAGAAGTCCATTGCAGAAGTCAGTGTGTCTGAGAGTTTGGTGGCAATTTTGTCTGCAAAGAAAAACAAAACATTTTAGTACATAATTCTGACATTTTTGTGGTTGACAAGACAGCAGAAGACATTTCCTGTCTGCTGGGTGACACAAGCAGCTGTACTACAAAGCTGGTTTAACTATTAAGAGTAGAACTATGTGGGATATGTAGAAATGTGTTGCAATCTGACGAAGATAATCACAGATCTGGAGCTACACATTAGTCGCAAAAAATATATTTAAGACTATTTAGATACAGTATTTAGTAGAGTGAAAGCAGCATAACTGCTTCAAGCAGAAAAAAATAAACAAATGCTGCCCTGATGATTTCAGACTGACATGTTTTAGAAAAAATGATGTTGCAGTGGTTGATTTGAGTTTTGATCTGGTTGTGCAAGATGCAACACTGGCTATTCAAAATTTCCTCTGCACCAAATAAAAACTGAACATTAAAAACCAAATCAGACAAGCTATAGAAAATGTGAAAATGTTTAATTTCTACTAAATAGGAAAGGTTAAAGTTGTTTAATAATTGTAGTTTTTAAACAAGTGTGTATATATGATTTCGAGCATTATGCTCTGTGTGCTCATATGGCAGATAAGAAAACATTTTAAAAAATATATGTCAACTTCAAATCTTGAACCATCAGAGCTCTGTTTAGTTGCTTTAAACTGGGTCATAATGAATTTAAACAYGTTGAYTGTCTGAACACACAGCAGACAGAATAATGTAAAACATAAAGTAAAAACCAACAGTTCTACACAAACCTGCTCTTTTCTGTAGCTTTTTCCTTTTCTTGTTGGCAGCCAGGAGCGCCTGGCCCTGCTGCAGTGGATCTACACCTACAATACTCTTCAAATCCGGAGCTTTTGGAGCCACCTCCTTTACAGTCAAATCAGTCTTCTTCTGGGCTTTTATCTCCACCGTCATTGGTCCAAACTATTTGGAGGRGCACAGAAATTTTGAAGTAAAAAATGAGTGATCACCTGGTTTGACAGTTGAGGGCGTTGAAACATCTCGAGATGCACTGATGCAGTTATTTCTCACCTCTGAATCATGATCGTCCTCCATAGTTTCACATTCATCTTTAAATGTGGWCCCTTCCACTGAGCCTCCTTCCATTTCCAGCTCATTATTTGGATCAACTTGACTTCCCTGCGTCATCCCAGTGGTTTCCATGCAGAAACCCATGGGGACATCCAGACAAGATGACTCTGAATCACAGAAAAAAGCTTATCATTTGTCAAAAAGTTGAGGTTCAAAGATCCAAAATCCTCAGAATACAAAATAAAACTATTTGTTGCAACCAGTTTCTTGCTTTCTATCATTTAGTAATCTAAAACACTGGTGAAACAGAGGCCACTACACGCAGATCAGTTTGAAATATGGACATGTTCGCTCTCTGAACAACAAGGTGCACAAACTTCAGTCTCTAGCCAGGAGCCTGAGAGGGTTTTGTTTTTGTATTTCTGTGAAATGTAACTTTAATGACAGTATACTGGCCTCATCACTGTATAAGAGGATTCAGGAAGGTCTGAGCAGACAGACACACCAAGAGAGGAGGGGTGTGGCCTGATTTTAATAAAACAACAAATAATGTAACCCTGACAGTGTAAATTCTATTTCTTTCTTTCTTTCTTTCTTTCTTTCATTCATTCATTCATTTATTCATTCATTCATTTAAAGGATCCCCATTAGTTTCTTCCATAGCAGAGATTATTCTTCCCAGGGTTCACAACAACAGAACATAAAAAACAAAAAATCATTACAACATAAAAAAAAAAGCTGAAAAGGGGCTGAAGGATCGATAAAACACTAATTTCAGGTCTCGCTGTTAAAATCTGTAGCTCCATGTGTTTACAGCTCCAAAACACAAGTCCAGTTGCTTCGTCTTTTTACTTTTCATTTTCCATATAGAAAGTATGATAATAACGTACAGCCTGGGTCATGGAAGGTGTCGATCCTAAAGTTACTTGGTCGACACTTTATTTCCAGCTCGATGTTTCGTTCCAAAAATAAAAAGCTTCACCAGAGCATCCCGGTCAGAGTCAGGTTCAGATATAAACATTGAACTAAACAAGTATGTCAGATAATTATTTAATCGGCGACAACTTCAGATTCAACGTGCAAAAAAGTAGCATCCATGCTAACTCTGTGAACAAAAAAGTCGGCTGAATGAGACGTCACGTCTTTACTGTGCATGTGTGTCACATCAGTGCTGTGTAGCGTTCACACTGGAGTCTGATGCAGGTCACATTTAAAATGTAATGTGAAYGTTCACACCAACWGATCAGAARTTTTTAAGACCTGCAGTGTGAAAGTAGCCATAGTTAGCCATCTTGTGTGAGCTTGATTCATGCAGTTTTTCCATTGAGAAGTATTCCACCTGTTTCCACTACAAGACACTAGCTTTTATTTTTCTCAATCATATTCAAAGAAATCCCACAGTGGACTTTGCTGCTTTCTCCCAACGTTTGCTGTTTTCTGGCAGGCGATGCTGAGCAGCAGTTATGGACCATGTGGTGCCGTAAGCTGCCCACAGCTAATGTGAAACTACTCCATTTGAATAAATAAATAAATAAAAAATCTACATGGCTCAAAACAAACTGACAAACATTAAAACTAAGGATATAATTTCAGTTAGTTTTAGTTAGTTTTGTAAAAAGATTATACAGTTTTAGTTACCGTTTTTTCATTTTATTACATTTTTTATTTATTTTAGTTAACGAAAAGATTTTTTGTCAATTTCAGTTTTCATTATTTAGTTAGTTTTAGTTAACTACAATAACCCTGGTCCAGATAAGACTTTATTTGGGTCCGGGTCTAGATCCAGACCCGTTCCACGTTTTGGGACCAGTACACTGTTCTTTCATCCAGATGTGCTCAGACACCAACATGCAGCACTGATAGATATGCGGATATAATGAACTCAGTCGTGGATATGACATTTAGTCACTGCCCTTCAAAGGGTTATTATCAGACGAGAGCCCAAAACCTCATAAAAACTAAAATTACCTACAAATGACCAAATCCAACCTGTACTCTCACAGATTTAAACTCTGTGAGTTTATCATTMGGGGATCTGATCTAAAGCTCATGATTTAAACTTGCAGATTCGGGTCAAACTATTTTTATTTCTAAATGTTCAGGTACTAAAAGATGACACAGATCCTGACCTGAGGTTTTGTTTGAGGTGTTTGTTCACTGGATGCTATTCTTTATAAACATAAACTACATCTTTATGTGTTTTGCATTATGTTATAATTGTGCCACACAGAGTGGTTTACAGGTTACAGATGTAGGTATGAGTTTGTTTGTTTTTACCTGCAAGAACGTCCTGATTTCCCTTTTCCAGCTCATCCCAGTCAAAGGCTTTGCCCATCTCTGAAACGATCTGAGCGCTGATGTGTGTGGGCAGAGTGTGGGTTTCTGGAGGGTGTGTGAAGTAGCTGATCCTTCCTCTACAGGAAAAGATTCATTAATTAAACACAAAGCCAAACAATCATGACAAACATTTCTAAAACCTAAGATGTTTACTGTTTACTGACCCTGTCCAGTCCATCAGTACACTCTTAGCAGCTTTGTCAGTGTCAGGCAGACCGCCCTTCCTCAGCTTGCCCAGTCGTCGGGCAAGAAGAGCCAGGAAGTCCTGAGCCGTCTGAAAGTCTGGCACTCCGTAGTGACTCATGATCTGAATACACCATGGAGGAACATTAAGGCCTTGTTTTAATTAGATTATCGATATGCAAACTGTTGTGTGGTGAGGGGTTTCATACCTGTGCTTTGTTGCAGCGTCGGAGGATGGCTTCAACAGGTGGAAGAGGATCCACGAGTTGCTCGATTTTCACGCAGTTACGAAGAATCATGGCCGCGTCTGTGGTTGATGTTGCCATGACAATACCAGGACAATCCAGGAGCTTTATGTGTTTGTCCAAATGTACTTCTTGAAGACACCTGAAATAAAAAAAAACAACAATCAGTAAATTCCTCAAGAGTTCACTCATTACACTGATAATGTTAGGATTTGGCTTTTGTAAGATACAAAAGTTCAACAAGTTCATGAACTACATCGATACAAGTGTCCAAGTTTTTCTGTAAACTGCCTAAATGAATATGACAGCGCAGCTGGCTTTAGTTGGTTCAAAACAATACAGCTTTTTGTCATTTAAAACTAGGGCTGGGTGGTATGACCTCAAATTCATATCACGGTATAAACTGAATCCCTTCATGGTAACACAGTGTTGGACTGGCTATCGGGCATAGCGGGCACTTGCCCGGTGGGCCAGTGGTGATTTTGGGCCAGGCGGTCCTGTCATGAACCAAAGAAATAAATTATAACTAATTTTTGTCGACCTGACGGCCCATTGGTTGTTTTTTTTTTCATTGGTTGATTTTCTTGAACGACATCGAGCTAATCCAATGAAATCTCTCMGCACTCCTCGGCCAGCCCTCCCCTTTCGACCAAAGTTATAAATATTGCCATTCGAGCTGGTCGGAGCAGAATTGGAGAGAAGTAGGAAGCACTGGACAAAACACGCTGAGAAGCTGCTGAAAAAATGCGGAAAGGTCTCCAAGTGCACGCAGCAAAGTGTGCAAAGGTAAACGTTTCCCACAACAAGCCAAAAGACATCTGACCGAACGACCATATTATATACAGTATGTTAATTAAAACCGGGAGGGAGAAAAAAATAAACACAGCTAGGAGTACCTGGCTCTGCTCCTCACCGGTCAGCCGGTGTGTGATCCGACTGATAAGAAAAACCCATAGAGATTGTGTTTAAACTCCACCCACTCGACCCACCACTTCAGCTGGAGATAGAGTGAAGCTCAGCGAGCTTCGTAAAAAGCTTAAAAAAAACTTTCATTTTTACAAAAGGATAACTTTATTAATGTTAGATTCTATGATTTACACATAAATGTTTTTTCCTTGCTAAATACCTTTTTAAATACCTTGCAAAAATAATTTAATGTTCTACTGAACCACAGCTATTTGTTATATTAGTGAAAGTGAAATAACAGCTATTATACCTAAAAAAATCGTGATATTCATCGAGATCGGATGATATGAAAAAATTTATCGTGATCTTTTTTTTTCTTTTTCTTTTTTTTTGCCATATYGCCCAGCCCAACTGGTAGTTACACAACTATAGTGTTTTGGGACATTTTCAGTGTTTCCATGTAAATTTATACATTTCAAGAAATGGTGCAGTGTTTACAGCAGTATTTTAAGAACAACAACAAACTAAATTGTATGCCCTATCAGAAAACCAGTTTCCACATGGACAAGAGCAGAATCAACAGTGTGATGTAAACTTACTTTGTGACCCCAGGAGTGGCTCCAACATTACATGCTCGCGCTCGTTTCAAACTGTTGATCAAACTACTCTTTCCTACATTAGGAAAACCTGTGAAACACAACAAGCTAAGTGATTTCAGCTCAGACAACAAAACATTAAACAAGAGCAGTGGAGTGGATAAAGTGCCCAGTGTGGTCAATCACAGCCGACCGGACAGCACGCCGTCAATCGTTTTCACACACAACTTTCACAGTCCTTGAGACAAACTGTGCTGAGCTCCTGGGGGGGGGAAAACTGACAGGGTTCCTACAGCCTAAGGCAAGTTAAATGTAAGACTTTTTAAGATCTCTTTAATGCCACTTGAAATGAAATTTAAGATCAACTTCACAATAAAACACAAATGGAGAAGAACCACTGTTAGCGACAATTTTACGCAAATGTTTATTTTAACACAAAACAACTAGCTGCGGGAGGCTTCGGTAAACTATTAAAAAAATAAATAAATGTTACCAATTATTTTAATATTTGAGATGAATTACAATCATCCTACTTACAATGTGTTAATGTTTTTAAGAACGTTTGAAAGATTGATTTAAAGGCACAGTGTGTAGGAT